CATGGTGCATTTTAAGGCAATGCGGGTCAACACGGCGCTGTAGTGAGAACAGGACACAAACAATTGTTTATGTCTATGTGCTGACTTGCATTTTACAACTGCGTTGCTAGGTGAGGCCTATTCATTACTACTCACTTCCCCCATCACAGGAGTGAGCTCTCAGACGCTGAGTTCAGAGCTCACTCAACAATAGATCCACCCCCTCAACAACAGATTTCCTCAGCAACAATGGACCCCCCACAACAAAACACCACCCCACCAACAATAGACCCCCAGCAGCAAGAACAGATCTCTCACCAGCCAGCATTAACAGACCTCTCCTTCAACAGAAGATTCCTCCCAGCAACGTAAGACTCCTTCCCACCCCCCCCCGCAACAACAGATTCCCCACCAGCAATATTATTACAGGTACTTATATAGCGCCAACAGTTTTACGCAGCACTTTATATACAGGTATATATTGTACATTCACATCAGTCCCTGCCCTCAAGGAGCTTACAAACTAAATAGACCTCCCCAGCAACAATAGACCCCCTTGCAAAAATAGATCCCCTCCAGCAACAATAGATCCCCCAGCAGCCAGCATCAACAGACCCTCTAGCACACGCCAGCACCCCGTGCCATTACATACATTCAGTGCTGGAGGTGCCAAAACTGGATTCTCCCACATTCCAATGAAAAAAAAAAAAGCCCTCATCATTAGTAGTGTCAGTGCATATTTTTAGCATTGATCACTGTATTGGGGTCGCAAATTGTCCGCCGCAATATCGCAGTCTCACTATAAGTTGCTGATCACCGCCATTACTAGTATTTAAAAAAATTCAGTATATATTGCATAGTTTGTAGACGCTATACCAAACCAATCAATATAGGCTCATTGTGTTTTTGTTGACCAAAAATATGTAGCGGAATACAAATTGGCCTAAATTTATGAAGACATTTGATTTTTTTTAAAAAAATTGTTTGTATTGGATATGTTTTATAGCCGAAAACAAAAAATTTTGTTTGTTTTCTTTTTCAAAAATGTTGGTTTTTTTCTTGTTTACAGTGCAGAAAATAAAAAACCCAGGAGATGATCAAATACCACCAAAATAAAGCTCTATTTTGGCGAAATAAATTCCATACATTTAATTTATGTACAGCGTTGCATGACTGCGCAATTGACCGTTAAAGTAATGCAGTGCTGTATCGAAAAAAAAGGCCTGGTGAGGAAAGGGGGGGGGGGGGGGGGAATCTTCCGGAGGGCAAGTGGTTAAGGATTGCCAAGCTGAAATAGTTTTCATTTTTATTTTTGGGTTTAGGTATCAACTTCATGAAGAAAACCAACCAAAACACAGTTTTCCATCATAGAGAAAAGTAATAAAAACCTTCCCAAAGTAATTCAAATGTTTTTACAGATGTCTCCACTGGAGAGATTTCCTCTACTTCCTGGGTGGGTGACCACCTATCCCTGGGAAAGGAATGCAGGCATATTCATCCGTATGGGGACGCAGACAGCAATGACAAGCATACAGAGGTTGGAACCTTTCTCTACTCGAGCCGTTTAAACTCTAGTAGAATTTTGGCAGCACTTTGTATCAGAGCCATTCCTAACAAAGTATGGTTTTGTCTCATACGGTACCTGAGGCGGCATGAGACAAGGAGCCTGACAACTATTGATGGCAGAGAACACAGATTTATGGAGAGTAAATTATTGTTTAAGGGTTTGAACTAGTGTTATTAAAAAAAAAAAAAAGTGACAGGTCACATGATCTGCGCCAAATAAGGTTCCATTCATTCACACTTGTGCAGCTTCAGAATTGTGCGACTTGATGCAACTTTGGATGAGTGCGACTTTGTACAGCACACACAATCATCTTTGGTTAAAGCCAAAGTTACACCAAAGTCGCACACAAGTCGCATGTATATCATTCAGGTGTGACCTTCATGCGACTTTGGAGGGTTTACATTGAAGTTTGAGGCCCCCCCAAGTTTGTATGAAAGTCAGACAAATGTATTGCAAGAACTACTTTAACCTCTTTACGCCGGACGCACACAAATGTGCCGCCTCCCGGCGTCTGGGCCTTGACGCCGAGCGGCCGCACATTTCCATGCAGTTAAAAAACATGCGCTGAGAGCGCGCACCCTGCGCGCTCCCAGCACACATGTCCGGTACACGGAAAGGTCCCGGTCTGCTCTTTCAGTCAGGACCTTTCCCGATCATGTGACCACTGTGATGACGCGTCACGGCGGTCACATGATCCCTAAACCCCGTCCCGCCTCCCAGCTTCTGAAAGGCTTAAAGGGCCGGGAGGCACCGTCGGGAAGGGGTTAAAGCTGCACAGCTTTGAATGGTACGCATTGGGAAACAAGGGGTGCGACTTGTCATACGACTTTGGACCCCAAAATCGCATGACAAGTTGCACAAGTGTGAATGGGCTCTAAATAATTTTTCAGAAAATGAGTTTGTCAGTATTTGTTGCAATGGAGGTGTGCAGTACTGTGTCAGGAGGATGAGTGCGCCGTACAGTCAAGATCATGGTCACAATCAGACGAGCCATGCAACACCTCGCAGTTCTCTGCAACAGGGGCGTCCAATCTGCAGCCCAGGAAGGATGGGAATGAGGCCCAACACAAAATTGTCAGCTTAATTAAAAAAGATTGATTTTAGAAAAAAAAAAAACTATTTTTTATTAAATGTGTTTAAACATGCGGCCAAAGTGAAATGTAACAGGGACTCTTCACTAGACTTTTAGAAGTTGTATCTTCCCAAAGAAAAAAAAAATCCCACAACCATTCCTTATTCATAAATCGAGACAGAAATGAAACGAGCGCTGGGACAAAGTACAGAAAGCGACATGCATGAAAGGCAAAACACAAAAGCCTCTAAATAATAAATATGAACAGAACATGCAGCGCTGTTAAAAATCAATCATACATGTAGAAAATAATACATTATAAGAAGAGTGATAAGGCGACCGCTGCTAAGTAATGGAATCAAAATGTTCATAAATTGCAATGACATAAATATCTCCAATGACAGTGTTCTTGTGGTACACAGTGCACAATATCACAATGAAGTGGTGAACAAATTGGTGACTTCCGTGACCATATTCCTCCCCACCGAAATGAGTGTAGATTGCACTAACCAGAAAGCGCAATAGAAATGCGCATTTGAGTATTTAACCAACTCTGGTCATCCGTCTATTTAAGCTGGATCACTGGGAGGGTCATCAGGCTAGCATCCGCTGGGCAGAATATCCTAACCACAGGATCTCCAGATGTCAGGGGGTGTACACTCGTCTCACCAGCAGGGGGAGATTAATCGTTCCCAGTGTGGCCACCAGATGGTCCCCAAACAAACCTTGAAAAAGGGGGGGGGGGCTCGCAAAAAACGAGCCAGAGCGACAAGAGGATCCAATAGTGTAGTACTTTTATTAGCCACAAGAGTAAAAGAACAAAACAGTAGATATGCTACTCACATGATATAGTAAGCAGCTGTGTATGGATACCAGGAATCATCAAAAGAAGGCAATGGCTGCCGGCCGTCCACAGTCCACAGGGGCCGTGCGGTGTGACGTCACAGAGTATGAGGCAATCGTGGGGCAACTCCCTAACGCGTTTCGTGCGCTTGCACGTTTTCCGAACGGCCCCTGTGGACGGCCGGTGGCCATTGCCTTCTTTTGATGATTCCTGGTATTCCCCATACACAGCTGCTTACTATATCATGTGAGTAGCATATCTACTGTTTTGTTCTTTTACTCTTGTGGCTAATAAAAGTACTACACTATTGGATCCTCTTGTCACTCTGGCTCGTTTTTTGCGAGCCCCCCCCCCCTTTTTCAAGGTTTGTTTGGGGACCATCTGGTGGCCACACTGGGAACGATTAATCTCCCCCTGCTGGTGAGACGAGTGTACACCCCCTGACATCTGGAGATCCTGTGGTTAGGATATTCTGCCCAGCGGATGCTAGCCTGATGACCCTCCCAGTGATCCAGCTTAAATAGACGGATGACCAGGAGTTGGTTAATACTCAAATGCGCATTTCTATTGCGCTTTCTGGTTAGTGCAATCTACACTCATTTCGGTGGGAGGAATATGGTCACGGAAGTCACCAATTTGTTCACCACTTCATTGTGATATTGTGCACTGTGTACCACAAGAGAACACTGTCATTGGAGATATTTATGTCATTGCAATTTATGAACATTTTGATGGGCCATTACTTAGCAGCGGTCGCCTTATCACTCTTCTTATAATGTATTATTTTCTACATGTATGATTGATTTTTAACAGCGCTGCATGTTCTGTTCATATTCCTTATTCATGTCATCAGTTTTCCCGGCACCACTTAGGACTCTTTCCCACGGGCGTTCTGTATGTCCGTTTACGGATAAAAAACGGACACCCATTTATTTCTATTAAGTAGCGGATGTAAACGGATGAAAATCCAGCTACATCCATTAATGTTCACATCCATTAACATCAGTTTTTTTTTTTTTGAACGGAAGAAACCCCTTTTCTTCTTCTGTAAAAAAAAAAAACAGAACGGATGAAAAAATGGATGTAAACTATGAAAACCTGATGAAAAAAACCACGGATGTAAACTGATGAAAAAAAAAAAAAATTATGTAATAATGGACAAACTAATGTAAAAACGAATGTAAACTGATAAAAAATGGAGTCTGCCCTTACCTCAGGGTCCCCATCAGAGTCCGCCCTTACCTCAGGGTCCCCAACAGAGTCCGCCCTTACCTCAGGGTTCCCATCAGAGTCCGCCCTTACATCAGGGTTCCCATCAGAGTCCGCCCTTACATCAGGGTTCCCATCAGAGTCCGCCCTTACATCAGGGTTCCCATCAGAGTCCGCCCTTACATCAGGGACCCCATCAGAGTCCGCCCTTACATCAGGGACCCCATCAGAGTCTGCCCTTACATCAGGGTTCTCATCAGAGTCTGCCCTTACATCAGGGACCACATCAGAGTCTGCCCTTACATCAGGGACCCCATCAGAGTCCGCCCTTACATCAGGGACCCCATCAGAGTCCGCCCTTACATCAGGGACCCCATCAGAGTCCGCCCTTACATCAGGGACCCCATCAGAGTCCGCCCTTACATCAGGGACCCCATCAGAGTCCGCCCTTACATCAGGGACCCCATCAGAGTCCGCCCTTACATCAGGGTCCCCATCAGAGTCCGCCCTTACATCAGGTCCCCATCAGAGTCCGCCCTTACATCAGGGTTCCCATCAGAGTCCGCCCTTACATCAGGGTCCCCATCAGAATCCGCCTTTACATCAGGGTCCTCATCAGAATCCGCCTTTACATCAGGGTCCCCATCAGAGTCCGCCCTTACATCAGGGTCCCCATCAGAGTCCGCCCTTACATCAGGGTTCCCATCAGAGTCCGCCCTTACATCAGGGTCCCCATCAGAATCCGCCTTTACATCAGGGTTCCCATCAGAGTCCGCCCTTACATCAGGGACCCCATCAGAGTCCGCCCTTACATCAGAGTCCAACCCCAAGTCTGCCATTACATCAGGAGTCCCATCAGGACCTCCCCTTACCAAGTCCGTGTGCGGATCGGTTGAAGTGGAGACCACAGGCAGCCTCTGCTGACATCAATCCTCAATCTGTGCACGTTCAGGATGCACCATTGACCCTAGATGTGAGCCAGATACGCACGTGACCTGTGGACTGTAGTTTGGAGACCCCTGCTCTACAACCAACAATCATAATTTATCAGGACCAATGTCCTCACGTTGCCTGGCTGACCCTTCGCTGTGCCAGAACAGTGCTGATACTTGGGACAAGGGTGCTAAATCCTGGAATATATCCCTTTCTTCTAATGAATACTAAGAACATTCACATAGAGCACAATACTCCGCTGGGTGGACTGAATAAAGGCAAATAGCAGAGCTTCTCCTCATTCACTAAGCCTAACCTCCAATCATGAGCAAGCAAGAACGCTGTTTACTTTCCTTGCACGCGATTGGGTATTCTTTACAAAGTGACACTTCACCCTAGTCACTAAGCTCCGGGGAAAATTTTCTTGCAAAGCGCAACATCCCCTGTAAAGTGAGCCGTCTATTTGCCTTAAAGTGGTATTAAACCCAAAAACAAACACTTATTATACTGCAGCTTACCAATTCTTAGAAATGATAGCTGCATTAGTTTTCCTTTTTAGGCTTACTTTCCTTTATTTTCACCTTGTGATCCTGCCCGCAAGTCTGTTTTTCAATAGAAGAAGCTGTCCGACAGATGTAGCAGTGGCACAGGGGTGTCAAACCGGCAGCCCTCAAGCTGTTTCAAAACTACAAGTCCCATCATGCCTCTGGGAGTCAGCTTGCAACTGTTAATCTTGCAATGTCTCGTGGGACTTGTAGTTTGGCAACAGCTGGAGGGATGCCAGAGTGTTGCAACAAACCATTGACTACTGACCGGGGTGTTTACAATGATCAGCTTTTATTTATGTAAAACCTTCATCACAAAAAGGAAAGAAACTGATGCCGTCAGAGTCTATAAAATGTCTGCTTGAGTTTTGGCTTAAATTTTTTAGTGTATCCAAATTTGCTGGTATATCTAACACTCCTCTCCCCCCAGACTGACAATGCTGCTATCCAAAGGTGCCCCCTGTGCTCCTTCATCCATAGTGGAGGCACTCCTAATACAGGAGGTGTGTTACTGGCCAGCTCTCCAGGTGAAAACAGAGGGGTAAAAAAAGAAAACTAATTCAGCCACCACATCTAATGATTGGTAAAGTGCAATATATTATATTTTTGGTTTTGGGTTTAATACCGCTTTAAGTAGATCAAGACCATTGAGCCAAACCTTCAGAGGAAAGCAGAGGGTAAGGATCAGGGAAGTGGCGAGAGGCACCTGCAGCCAGGTAGTGCACTTGTTTTAAAAGCCTTATCATCGGTAATAAAATCCATGGAGCGTATGTGTTACCAGATCATAAAAAGCCTTGCAGAGGCCGTCCTGCCTGCCAGCCTGATATCTCTGCTGTGTATCCGGGCTGTCTCCTTTTTATGGCAGCCTGGAGTAAATGACATTATATGGCGCAGGGAATGGCGTTCTCATGGTAGAGAGGGAAGTTCGCACCATTACAAAGGAAGCTCTGAGCAGCCGCTGACCACACGGAGCGCACAACAACAATGCTATGCAAACAAGCAAAGTACATTACATACCCTGATACCCTGGATACTGCCGCTACCGACTCAAACATCTTCTGCCCAACCTTAACTCTAGAAATGCCAGGACCAAATTCTGCTCAGACTTCAGGAGTTTCATTTTAATTAAAGCGAGCTAAACAAATATTTTATAAATCAGAGGCATTTGTGTTCTGAAGCTTTCTTTTTGGGGGGATTTCTTCCAGATCTGTGTGGTAATCCAGCATCAGGGTGGATAAAAATGATGATTAAATTAAAAAAAAAAAAAAATGTAGATTTTTTTTCTATTTAAATTGGATTTTTCAAATTTTTATCAAACGTATTTTATTAAAATGCTTTTGGAGTAAACATCTATCTAAAGATAGTTTTCTATTTAGGATGCATTAAAATGTTACTACACCCCGTACCCTGCATTCACTATATCTGGTCTTCCCGGAGCCTGCATTCACTATATCCGGTCTCCCCGGACCCGGCATTCACTATATCCGGTCTCCCCGAACCGGCATTCACTATATCCGGTCTCCCCGGACCCCGCATTCACTATATCCGGTCTCCCCGGACCCCGCATTCACTATATCCGGTCTCCCCCTGGACCCCGCATTCACTATATCCGGTCTCCCCCCGGACCCCGCATTCACTGTATCCGGTCTCCCCGGACCCGCATTCACTATATCCGGGCTCCCCGGACCAGGCATTCACTATATCCGGTCTCCCGGACCAGGCATTCACTATATCCGGTCTCCCTGGACCTGCATTCACTATATCCGGTCTCCCCGGACCAGGCATTCACTATATCCGGTCTCCCCGGACCAGGCATTCACTATATCCGGTCTCCCCGGACCCCGCATTCACTATATCCGGTCTCCCCCTGGACCTGCATTCACTACATCCGGTCTCCCCGACCCCCGCATTTTACTACATCCGGTCTCCCCGGACCCCGCATTCACTACATCCGGTCTCCGCGGACCCCGCATTCACTATATCCAGTCTCCCCGAACCCTGCATTTACTATATCCGGTCTCCGCGGACCCGGCATGCACTGTATCTTTTCTCTCACAGTACACAGAACATGGAAATGCAATTATTTTAGTAAATATAAACTGCTAAATACCTTTTCTCATCAGCAGTTAGAGCAGTCTTGTGACTTCAGCAGAGCACTGGTTAAAGCTTGTAGGAGGAGTTTTCTTTCTGCGCTAGGAGGATGTGAAAGGCCTGACCCTCTGCATGTGATCAGCACAGGGCCTATAGGCACTGTCCAGACACACTCCCAAGAAAAAAAAAAAAAAAAAAAAAACTTTCTAGCAGTACACACTAAACTGAGCATGTGCAGAAGGGCTACGGGTTCAGTCTGTCTGATCAGCGTGGACATTTGAAAAAGAGGAGGGGCAGAGAATGGAGGATCAAACGGCCTTTTAACACAATGCAGAGGATTAACCCCTTGGGTTCCACAGTGAGTATAACAATCATGCTTTACTGCATATACAGACTGATTGTACTGTTGTGGGTTCAGTAACACTTTAACCGCTTCCTGACCGCCCTATAGCAGAAATACTGCTACAGGGCAGCACGGGTGCACAAAATCACACATATATATATACACATACATACACACACACACATATATCTACATATACACACACACACACATATACACACACACACACGCGTGATTTTGCATTTCCGGGTAGGAGGCACGTGCGAGCCCTACCCGCGCCGCCATCACCGTCCGCCAATCACCGGGTCCCAGCCAGTGATAACACGACCGGTGCTCAGTGATTACCAAAGATCTCTGACAGGGAGGAGAACGGTTTTGTTTACTAACAGTTCTCCTCCCTGTCAGCTCGGGCACACTGCTTTGGATGGCTGTGCACATCACAGCCATCCAAAGCAGTGTGCTTATAGTGAAGCACCAGCACACCGCCCCCTAGTAAAACACACCCAGCACACAGTTAACCCTTTTATCACCCCTCATGTTAACCCCTTTCTGCCCAGTGCCATTAGTACAGTATCAGTACCAGTATCAGTACAGTATCAGCAAAGACATGTTGCAGAATACGTTTTGGCCTAAATTTATGAGGACATTTGATTTTTTTTTACCGGACATGTTTAATAGCAAAAAGTCAAAAATAGTTTTTTTTTCTCTAAATTGTCGTTATTTTTATAGCGCAAAAAAAAAATGCATAGGCGATCAAATACCACCGAAAGAAAGCTCTATTTGTGGGAAAAAAAAGACGTAAATTTCATTTGGGTGAAGCGTAGCATGACTGCGCAATTGTCAGTTAAAGTAACACAGCGCCGTAAAGCAAGAAATGGCCTGGTCAGGAAGGGGGTAAATCCTCTGGAGGGCAAGTCGTTAATAATTCATTTTATTAAGCATTAAATGGAGCTTAGTTACGTAGCATGAGGCTGTATATTCTGCAATATTTACATTTTCGGTAAACTCATTCAATGAATCCAAGCTCTGCAAGCTGAGATAACATGCACTGCATGGATGCATTCACACAATTTCATAGTAACCATGAGAAAAAACATGAAATAAAAGAATTGGAGTAGTTTTCCAGCTATGCATGATTAAACAACTCAATTAATAACCTCCTATTCTGTGAACCCACCAAAAAGTCACACTTTCTCCCTAGAAAGTATACTACATTAAACCTTTTTGTGAAATACTATCTATAAAATAAATAAATATACATACAGATAAATAAAGTTAAATAAAGTTCATAAATCTTAAAGTGTCCAATTCAACAAAAGTCCCACATTTGTCCAATAAAGTCCAAAGATCCAAATTTCAATCCAGTAAGAAGGATTAACTCCTATTAATCCAATGATACCTCAAAACAGAAAATATACACCATAGTGCATTACCTTTTACATTTTCAAAATAAAACAATATTGTGCAAACATAAAATCACGCAAAAAATGTGAAAAGGAAAAAAAAAAAAAAATTATATATATACACACACACATACATACATATACACATACATATATATACACACACACATACACTACACCCCAAGTTGTGAACACTCTGTGATCAACTGCAACACTGTGAACACTCCGTGGGACAACACCCAATAGTGCTAGGTACTATTACCCTCTGTGAGTAATTATGCACATATCGACCATAAGGGACCATAATCTTCCATTATTCCTTTATGTATACTCCTTCCAAGGTCCTCACAAAGACAAGAAGAGTCTTAAGACAGATCTCCAAGCATAGATAAAATGTAATAGTGCCTTACATTATAGTAACCAACTTCCAGCTCTGACAAAAGGTTTTCTGTAGAGGTTTACCAAACACTGGCACACACCATGTGTAGGTAACCAACAAAATGGCAACGGCGACACTTCCGGTTTGCGTTCGTGCGTCTTGACGTCACCTCCACTA